TCTGACTCGGAATTTATGTTTCTGTTTTGAACTGTTCTACTTCACCTGTCTTAAACTTTGAATTTTACATCGCAGCGCTATTTTACGAATTAAATATGAGTTTTGCTCTAGTAGTAACCTTGTTTTTCCGAAGACAGATACCAAGAATTCACCAGAGACCAACACAGCACAAAGTGGGTCAAAGTCTATTCTTGCGTCTCAATCTGAATTGTTTCTAGGGACACTTCATTTCTATATAGGTATATTAGAAAACTGTTAAGAGTTACATACATTTGATGATGGAAAATTTTCTAGAAAATTTTATAAAGATTTAGTTTTTAACAACAAGAAACTTTTAAAACATACCAAAATTGTAGGAGGAGAAAAAATAAATTAAGAGGATAGGAAAAATGCTTGAAAATAATTTGTATCTATTACTTTAGTAGTAATGTAATACCTCATTTGAAAGATATTTTAATTATATTTACGTCCAAGCACACTTTTAATTTTTTTTTAATTATTTTACAAAAATTACATTCTTGATAATCCTCGTGTGCCGCAATAATCCTAGAAATGTTAGATAATGTTAGAAGAGAATTTGTTAATAAGCTTTTTTGCCAAGAAAAACTTAATACGACAAGTGATTTTTAAATCACCTTTGATATTCTTAATTTTTTTATTTTAGTAATACAAGAAGCGTTTTCTTAGTAATAAACAATAATTGTTAATACGAGAGTTATCAAGAATGTAACTTATTAGTAAAGTCCCAGAACATCTCTGTATAAGAACAAAGTACCAGCTACAAAAAATTGCCATTTGTGCATTGTTAAAACAGTAAAAAATTACTTAAATTTATAAAAGATACTGACATTTACTCTGTACTAGCCAAAATGTTAATTATACATTGTGTACCATTGTAAAAAACAGCATTTATAAGTTATTATACCTCCGGTAATGAGCCTTTGAGGTTGCATTAGAAAATTTAAAGCTAATATCTCCCTCTCGTCTCGTCTGGAATCTGTTTTCGAGAGAAAATGTCTGTCTCGTCTCGTTCGAGACGAGACAAGACGAGACGAGAGACGAGAAGCAATCGTGTCGCGGCATCACTAGTTTTTTTTCTAAATCCGAACTGGTAATCTGGAATTAGTTTCCTTTTTTCAATGATGGGTTTCAGTCTTTTTATTAGTATTTTTTGATGATATACAAACTGTACTGTAAGGATTATTTTTTTTTACTTTTCTATTTCAACGTAGTTAAATGGTTCTTATATCCTGAGAGACATTTTACAAAAAGAAAAAGGTATCAGTATTTTTAAAAATAAAAATTTTGATTTGGCAATAATGGTGTGAAAATTAATAACTTTAAATGTACATTAGCTTGGGAGACAACACGACCTATGATGGGAGACAATTCGACCCATAAAAAAACTACCTGCTCAAGACGGGAGACAACTCGACCTTGCTCCTAATATATATGTTTTTATGTTAAATTATACAATCTTATCCTTTAAATTGTCGCTTATCCGGAATTTCAATAATTTTTATAAGTAGTGGCAACAAGGTAAAGACATATCGACTATTGTCTGAAAGGTTATAAATTAGCCAATCAGATTTTGGGATTCATTATGAAGATGTTTAAAAATTTCAAAAAAATATTTTTAGATTAGATTTTGTGTTAGCTTTTAGAAAAAAATATTTTTGAATTTCACTAAATACGCCCATTAACAAATTTATAATTTATTTTTAGCAATGTACCTGGAATTCGTTTAATACTTTAATTGAAAACGTATACAAAATGTAAAAAACACATATAGGATTAAAAAAATATATAATCCATTAAGTATGGAAGCACGTCCGTGGCCACCACTCAGAGTTTTCGTATCTCCTTTCGTCTATAAATACCCTTTCGATAGCGATTTTTATTTAATTACGTTTGATGAAACTAAGAATTTAATATGTCAAATTAAAAGCTCCATTGCTCTGCATCCTATTTGTGCAGTAACCAATTGCTACGAAATGATGGAAATAAAACGAAAAATTCCATGAACACAGCGATCTTTAAAATCTTTATATATATCGTAATTTGTGACACGATAAGAAGCAGATAACGTATACAGACATTACGATGTATAGACATATCTGAATCCTAGTTCGATTCACAGTTTTCCAATATATAATCCCTTTGATCCCGGTCTCAAAAAGCCTTTTTTGTTTTATTTTCTCTTTAAATCTTGAACAAAATGTGTTGTATAAAACATCAAAAAGCAAATCGTCCTATTAAATCAGTAAATCAGATGATATATAGCATAAGCTTACGTGACTGAAATAAACAAACGATTTTTCTTTCTAGACACCCTGATTGCTTTATTTGAAAGCCATTCAGGGGCTATTAACACATAATTGGTATTCTTAATGCCTTTTTCACTATCTAAAAACTGGAATTTCTGATCAAATCATACCCCGTGAAGGTTATTGCTATTGACATTAATTTTCAACAAATTTATCATTTTGTTCCCCAGAGATTAATGATAAATCTATATTACAAATTGGTGACATGAATAATGTTTTAGGCAGTTTTACTCCATGTATAAAAGGCTTGTTCAAGAATTTTTTTAAATTTTTTATTTATGTACCAATATCGTAAAGAGAAATTTGAGTTTTTTATTTTAAAAGATTAAAAAAACTCCAAATAAATGCTACACATATTTTATGTTGTATTGATTAGGAGTTTTTTTAATTTTGTGAATATTTTGTTTCGATTATAATTCGAATCTTCATTTATTTTTATTTTAGATGGATTAGTTGATGATGAACCAGTGAAAGATGAAACCACAGAAAGAACCACAACGAATTATAAAAGTACTTTTACTGCTCTATCTATTACTAATCGTACTAATTTTCGTTTGAGAAATTAACTTACTAACCATTAGACTAAAATATATAAGTAGAATATTTTTAAACAGCATTAAAAAATAATAAAAACTAATTAATTTTAATTAGTTTTGTCCTAAAAATTCTGTATATGTAGCGTGTGGAGGGTGGGTTAACTCATAGTACTTAGGCGTCACTAGGCACATGTTGGATCCTAAGTAAATAGGTACCTCCTAGCCTAAAGATTTAATGTAGTTGACAAGATTGCTAAGAGGTGCTTCTCTTATATCGGCCGGTGTTAGCAAATTCTCGATGGTATCATCTTCTTGTTCACACCCCTTGCAGAGTGAGGCTTCTGACAACCCCTTGGCAATGACCAGTCAGAAAGGCTGTCATCAGGCGCAGTGGGAGCATATCGAGCACCTACTGCCAAAAGCGACGTCTCGCCTTACCAGATCCTACATCAGGTTCTATTCCAAGCGTGCGGAGGCGAGTCATTGTCCTTGATGTAAATATAATAATAATAATAATAATAATAATCGTCTTTATTTCCATTAATTTAAAGTAAATACAATAAAATAATACATATATACACGGGCGAAGTTTATTTTTGGTTGTGCACTAGACACAACAAAAAATATTCTTCCACTTAACCCGCGAGTAAACCTGCATATAACCATAGAGCAATAGAGCAGAAATAAACAATCAAAGACAAAATATGTATATACCATAATAACTATATCAAATAAATAAACAACTGTAATTTTAACATTTAACAAACAAATGAAAATGCACTTGTCTCAGGAAGGTTGAATCCAATGAGAAAAAAAAAACAACATAACTAAGTAGGGCAAAAAAAAATATCAAAAACAACGACCAATGAAAGAGGGAAGTACAAATACGTAGCGATACAATAAACAACAATATGTATGCAGTGAGGAAAATTGTTACTTAAATTTGATTTTCAAAAATGTGTATTTTAAGGGCTGTCTTAAATTTAAAAATACTATAATTCTTGAATTCTGGTAATATTTTATTATAAAAGTAAGAGATGAGGTAACTAAATGAGCGTCTGAAAAGTTCCGTCGTAAAAAAGGGAACAGTCAGTAATCCTCTGTTCAAGGGGAGTGAGACTAAAAATGACTTCCATAGCTCTGGTCAAAGTGATTTTCATGGCTTCTGTTATGTTAAGACATGTTATTTGAATTTGTTCTAGTTTGCAGATAGCTGTAGACACCCTTAAGCGTCAGCCAGTAGATTTTTGACTAGTTGATAACCTATAGGACTTTGATGAGCTGGGAAGATGGATGTCTCTAGATGCCTCTCAGCGGCAACCAGCAGGTTTTGACAAGTTGAGAGATATTTATGATGGCGGTTTAAGTCCATGCGGCGAATCTAGAGGAGAGACCTCAGATTGTGTCCTCTTAAATGTCACTTAGCTTCGGCAGCTCTATTGTTAAGGTTGAACTGAGTCGTGGGTCAAACTAAATGTCAATCTCAGTTTAAAAAGAATGATGTTCCACAAAAGATACCTATATACCCAATTTTAAAAGGTTATAAATCTAAGCGCCACTGGAGGCCTAAAGAGATTACACTCTAATACCAAACTTAGGCTACTGTCCTTGAGTGAAGTTACTGTGTAAATCAATGAACGTTTTTAGCTTTTTACATCCCTTTTCTGTCAATTTACGGGCTTTTATATTTTATGCTTTTAAATAATCCTTATCTTGTCATTTTTTCTTGAATTTCGTAGCAAAACATCCACATACGAGTAGAATCGCGCTTATTGAATCTGTAACAACAATCTAAAATAACAGTAGGAAGACTTCTGTAAACTAAAGATAATAACAAAGTAAACTTGAACTAATAACTAACCAATTTAAAGTACTAAAATAAATAAAAGTTGACTAATATGTTGACTTTTAACGTAATAAAATGAAAATAGATAAAAATAATTTAAAAGTGATCAATATGTAAATGAAAAAAAAATCGTATAATATGATAGACTATTTGCAGGGTTCATTACTTAATACATCAACATTTCATGATAATGTTATTGCCTTTTATATTTATTTTTATATACAGTATATAGTTCAAAAGTAATTTATAATTTTAGGTATGTAAATTTTGATAAAACCTTTTAATTTTCAGTTCCCACTGCTCAAATTATGGGAGGACCAGATTTACATGTGGACAGAGGTAGCACCATTAACTTGACGTGCTCCATAAGATTTAGTCCTGAACCACCAGCGTATATCTTCTGGTATCATCATGATGATGTAAGTACCTACCATTTATTATATTTTAATTTCTTTAAATTTTTATAATGTTTTATCTTTGACTGTAAAAAAATATTAAAAGTATATGTATTTCTGGTCTTAAAAACAGATTTATTTATAAACCGCACGGGCTTTACTAAAGATCCTTCGCCCATAACAAACTTGTTTACTTATGCAAATTAAATTTATCGTGTAAAGGCATATAGTGATCTAGAAGATGCATTCCACATACACCGACTTCAGCACGGCCTTTGATGTTGTTGACCATGCCATACTTTTGAGGAGACTCTTTGAGAAGGATATACTCGAGTTATGGAAACAATGTTATAAATAAATGTAAAAACTTAAATAGATTAGATCATTGTTAGCTAGAATTTTCATTTTAAAAGAGTTATTTTCGAAGTGCTCTTACTTAATTGGCGCAGTCTATCAGTAGGATTTTTTCACGGACAATTTTTCGTATCAATGATTAACAAAAATAACAAACATTGTGATACTGCGAACTATAAATGTGAGAGTATATTGAATTTTTTGTTCTCTATTCAAAATAATATCGGGTGGTGAACGGACATTTTAGTTGATCGAACACTATAGTGATCGTTGAAGAAGAAAAAAACGAATTATACACCTGAGGAACACACATCGTCCAGACCCTTAGCAGATATTGAGTATTTTTATTGAAAATTGTGAAAGCTTAATATCAGTTTTTGTCAGTCCAAATAATATGGCTTAAAATTATTTTTTATTAAAATCCATAATAGGTAAAATCACAGGGAGATCCCAAAGATTAGTATGGTTTTCGAACAAAGCTCAAAATATTGGTTGATATAAAAAACTCAATAAACCTAAGTTTTAGAGATTTATTTAACATAGATTACTTGGTTCAAGATTAAATAATTTTATATCTTTTAAAAGACGAGAGTCCTTATAATTTTGGCAAAATAAATAATTCTCTACTATTATCTATTCAAACAAACGTTTGGTTAAGAGGACCCAATAGTTTAAAGAAATTAATAAGTCTTAATAAGTCTTGTATTCCACTCGAAAATCTAATTTACGAATCACAGCTGCCAAAAATCTAAATTATAGAACCCATACAAAATTTTAGAAACCTTAATTCTCATAAAGCACTTCCACAATTCTGCCGTGTTAATTCAAAAGGCCGTATCTACAATTTTCCTTGAAATAAAGATACGACCACTACGCCTGACAACAATGAATTTTTTGTTTATTTCTATAATTTTCATGGATATGTATTCTATAAAATCCGATATTTAATGCTTAGAAATTTGAGAGTATTAATATAACCATATTACATTTGCGTTTTTTTGTATCGTTTCTAGAAACTTTTTTAAGTAGCCTTGTACTAATAAGTTGGTCTATTTTACTTGACTGCACAGTTTTGGCCCTCAGCGCTACTGAGCCTTATATGTTATCATTGTCCTTTTTTTTCTCCTGGGCTCATCTTACTATGTCTTCGAATAACATTGAAGACTATTGGCTTATTGTGTTTTACCCCATGTTGGTTCATAGCACTCTGTCACCTTTGTACCTTGTACAAGTTTGTACAGATCCTTGGGTCAGTGGGTTCTATACGTTGTTGGATCAACCTGGGGTTGTCCAAAAAGTGCCTGTCTTTTGCGATCTAGAGCTTCACATTTGCACAGTATGTGTTTGGCCGTTTTTGGTTTCTTGTGACATAGTCGGCACATGAGTTCCCCATTGTACATGCCAATTTGGTTCAAGTGTCCCTTTACTGGGGCGTGCCCAGTCATGAACCCTGTTATTACTTTCAACTGGTTCCTATTCATAAAGAGTAGTTTTCCAGTTCTATTGGAACATGGTCTGCCTATGAAGGTTTTTCCATGTGCCTGTTTTGGGGAGCTTTCCCAATAGTTAATATGTTTCCAGACGTTTATGAAACCCCGAACTGTACTTTTTGGTACTCCTGGGTTTGTGTCTGGTTCCGGTGTTTCTTCTGACCCTCTTTTTGTAAGTTCGTAAGTCTTTTCGTTGCCTTTGATCCCTTGGTGACCTGGCACCCAAAATAGTTTTACTCCATTTCGGTCTGCCAGTGTTCTTAGTTCTTCGATGCATTCCCATACTAGCCTCGATGTAACTTTCTGACTCGATATGGCCTTAAGTGCCGCTTCGCTGTCTGATATTATTTGAATATGCTGATTTTCGACAGCTCTTTCATTGTTCGATTTTGCACATTGCAAAATTGCGTATACCTCGGGCTTAAATACCGAGGAATGTAGTCCTATAGCATAACTATGGTTAGTATCAGGGTTTTTGGAGAATACTTCCGCTCTAGTGCCTTCCGCAGTCTTAGACCCATCTATATATCAAGTTTGTTCCTGTCGTTGGGCATTGGGCTCCCTTATGGTGATTTCCGCTCTTTCCTGTATTAAAACCTCAAATAAAGTATTAAGAAAGTACCTCTTGGTTATGTGGTCTGATCTCATGTCTATCACATCTGTCACAAACCTTGAGATACTCATGTGACCTGACCTAATGTCAAGATTTCCCAGTGTATTCCCTAATCTGTAAGCACCTAATCTTGACTCCCCTTGTATCACATAGTGAAGAGGTGGGAGTCCTATTAGTGCTTCCATTGCAGCTGTGGGGGTTGTTTTCATTGCCCCAGTTATTCTGAGGCAGGCAAGTCTTTGTACCTTGCTTATCCTCGTTATTGTTTTCCTCTGCTGTATCTTTGGCCTATCTAGCAGTTTTTCCAAAGTCTTAAGTGCAAAGGACATAAGACTTATTGGTCTTAGGGACTTTGCCGTTTCCTGTCCTATTTTCCCAGGTTTTGGTATAAAAGTTACCCTAATATTTCTCCAAGTATGTTTCCAAAGGCCAGGCTACTTCTGAGTATGCTGTATAAAATATCAGGACCTCTTTGTAACATTATTAGATAAATCCCGTCCAAGTCCAGTGATTTATATGATTTATATGGTTTATATGGTCCTTACTTATAACTATGTTAAATATTCATAGGATTATTTTAGGGTTTAGGCCTCAGTGTTTTTTCGTATAACTTCCAACAGCTACTGTAGTTTTGTAAGCGGGGCTTTAAGCATGTTGTTTTCAAGTGATGCGTGATGGTAAAAAATCCCCATTCTGTTTAATGTCGTTTAAATTTGATGTATAACATCTGTAAAAAGTAGTAATTTGATAGAAACATTTGTCTTTTATGTCCCTTTTCAAAGTAATCTATTACCTGAGAATATACATTATAATTGTTTCTGCTTTATAAGGCATTTGCTCTCTCCCTAATCTTTCTTATCCTCTCTTTCGCTTTGACTATCTGCCCAATATTGATTATATGTAACGAACACATTAAATGGAATAATTAACCCGTTTTTGAAAACAGTGGAATTTAATTCATAATTACTGTCACAAATTTATTTTCGAAACAACGTTATATAAAGAGGAACGTCTACCATTCTGAATAGCCAACTTTGGAATGATGTTTTTTTAAAGGACGCAAATTAAACTTTGATGACGTTTTTAGCTGGGCTCCCCAAGATTAAAATGCTGAAATATTAAATTCGGTTCATATAATTAAGAAAGTGTAGCCTGTCACTTAAACGTGACTTGACTTTTGAACTAAGACCAATCCGTTTGGAAACACCCAAAAAATAAAGGTCCCCTTAATGAAAATGTGGAAGTTTCCTTTAATGTTCTAGTTCTAAAATTTGAAAGTTAGATCGTTCATTAGTTAGTTCTTAATTATAAATTAATATCTGCTACAGCTCTACTTAGATGGATTAGCGTAATAGTAGGAGGTCCGAATAGAAAAATGTTTTAAGACTTGTCAGTTTTGTACTGTTATTATGCTTGTATGTGATTTGGTTTATAAAAAAATCAATTAATTTGTTCAGTTTGTTTTGTTTAAAGTTGCGGTTTTAGTGTCGTTACTAATTACAGACAATTAATCGAGCACGTAAGTTAATTAATTACCAGTGTGAAAGAGCAGGGGTGGTTTCTTCATTGGTTACATTTCATAAAAACACATTATTTGAAAATAAACAACTTAAAAAATAAATTCAATTTTAACATTTTTATTGTTTTCATACATGTTATCTATTTTTAGGTACGCCACTGCGCTCTGGCTGATCGCGTTTCCGTGGCGCTCTTTTATAAGTGAGCCCGAAGTGAGCTTAAAAAAAATGTCGCACGGGCACGGCTCGTATTGGTAATACGGTTTCTCTTTGCCCAGGAGGCTATACTTCCTCGCCAGACTTTGATGAATAATCTTAGTTACCTGATTGTGTATCGACAAATATTCTATCGATACCAGGATAGGGCAAGCGCTTGATATATTCTGAATGGTCTTGGGATGTGACACTTTCTACATGCTACGAAAACTCTAGTAACTCATTTTTGGAAGTTTTTCAGTTACAATTATCCAGCTCATATACTTACCAAAAGCTTTGATCTGGGAAAGTATAGTACGTCTAAACGAAGAGGTTATGCAATCAAAAAAATGTCATTTTAGGCCATAAAATACTACGAATACTATATTATCTTAGACTTTCTCAAAACTTTCGTTGAATGAGTTGATTTGTCTAACGAGAGATTATGCCATTGCGCTTGCGTAGTACTAACAATTGGTATCGTGCCTGACAATTATTTTACGTTCTAAATGTATTAACTAATGACTTAATTCAGTATCGTGACAACAGCTTTGCAAAAGTAGTCCCCTCCGTAGACTCGGTCACAACCATCACTGTTTTTAAAAATACAAACTTCTTGCGTACGTCACTGTCCTAGTGACTATTCAGTAGAATAAAATGACCGTGGTTTAAATTCCTCACATTTTTATTCTGACAATTTAATTTGAAGATTTATTTAGCACTTAAACCAGTACACACACACTATCAAATGCACCAACGACTGCCAAACAGGGTAGTTACTTACAATAATTTATAGTTAATTAAACAAAAGAAAACGCCCTTAAGTTTAATTAAAGGCTTTAAACAAGCCTTTAC